CTTGTCCCTACAAATGGACCATCCCCATTCCTGCTACTCCCAACACCTAGATAGGAAATATCAAACAATTGGGCCCCAGCTAGTGTGCCCAGGTCACCAAAACCCAGATCCTGTCCTCCAGGTGTGCCTCCTGGTGTGTCTCAATCCCTCGCTGGCAAATGCTGCAGGCAGGACCTTGAGGATTGCTGTGATATCTTTTGGTCTAGCATGGTCTCAAAGGGGGAGGAAGAGGCAAGAAAGAAGGGACATCTGAAGAGTCTCAAATTCTAAAACGAGAATTTTAAGAGCATGTTCTGAAATTGTCATACTGAGCTTTTATAGGTAATCTGCGACTTTCCATTTTCTGCCTGGGAATGTGTGTTTGCACAGGAGTTTTCTAATTCAGACTCTGAAACTGTGGAAGTTCATTCCTTGGCTTATCTTCTACAAGTTCTATATTTTAACTTTTGTTTAAAAAAAATTACAGTAACAACTGAATTGTATATTTCAGTTGTTTAATTCATTGGCATAGTCGGTCAATTTTTGCATTTGAGATTTAATATGGAAATAACATATTATGATTTTATTCTAAAACCTATGTACACTACACAGTTCTGCTTATTGAAAGTTATATTGGATTTACCCTATTCTTGGTAAGGAAGCAAATGGTAGCATCTCTTCCTGCTGAAATACCATCCTAAAACCAGTACCAGAGTTTTGCTTTCTTCACTATTGAACTATAGTCCATATTAGGCAAGAATCTCCTGACTGTCTGCTCAGGTCATGTCCCATTAATCCAGCTCATTTCCTATGTTTTGGATGTGTGTATGCTATTGATGGTAGTGGATAGGATCTAGCAGTAAATGTTTGTACATTACTTCAAAGTGTGGAGAGCTCTGAATTTCAGAGGGAGACTAGAATAGACAGGGTAAGTTCTCCTGTGCTCAGATAGAGTGACTTTAAACTGATTCTGATTAAAACTATGCTCTTAACTAAAGAGCTTGTCTAAGTTGAAATAGCTGTATCTTTTTTGCTTATCTAGGCTTTATGTATCCACATATACAGTTAGTACATAAACAAGTCCAAACCTGATATTCTGTGGATAAGAACGGGCAATGGAAATTTGGGATAGGCTGTTATGACCCCAAGAGCTCCCACTGAATGTCCCACTGACTCTGTCACTGCTCAGAAAGACTTTCTGTTCTTCTTGACCTGCCTGTGGCAGGACTTGGTACTCATGAGGCAGATGAGATCTGCTCTGCATTCTCCCACCCTTGCAGATTTTAAATTCCTTGCATTTTCTATATATAAATAGCAGACTGTGTTTCCAGCCACTCAGTGGGAGTCACCCTGTTTGCAATGCTGTTTTGAAAGGAAAATTTCAGTGCCATTTTGAATATGTAATTTTTTATTCTTGGAAGGCTTGATTTTAGCAGCTATGAGTGAGGCACGGTGCAGAGCCCAAAGGGAAAACCTGTCCATGAATGGGTGTGGTGTGCACAGCACAGGCCATGTCCACTGCTCATGCTTTCTCCCTCTCTTTCTGCTCATGGTCAGCACCAAGAGCTGTGAAGCTGATGCCCCTGTCTGGGCAGAAGCAGGGAAGAGGCTGTTGGTCAGTTTGTTAGAAAAAGGCAGGAGGAAGTGGCACATTGTGGCCCTTCTGGCTGCAGCAGAAATCCAATGTACTCTGCAGTGTTTGTCCCTCTGATGCTGCTGGGGCTGCCCAGCAGTATGCTGAGGACATGGTGCTGTGAAGAGAGGGGTTAGCTGGAGAGCCCAGGGAAAGCACAGATCAGCATATCTTTGTTAAATCACTCTCTTATCAGTGACCATAATGGGGAATAAAGAGACACACTGGCAGAATTGCCACTTCCAAGCTGAGCCTTTGCTCTGCAAAGGCAGCCTGTTGGATCAGGGTACTGTAACTTAGTGCTTCTCTGCACCTGCACTGGTGAATTTAGGAACCAAAGCCTTAAGCAGGTTTGTTTTACAAGGAACGCCAGCTGTCCTCTCAAGAGTGATGCTGCGGTAGTCTCTGATCACACCAGAGGAGCTGAGGCAGATCAGAGCCACGACAAAAACTATGCAAAGAGAATGCGGAATGGACACCCTTGAATTGCCATCCTAGAAGCCTTGTCTTTGGCTGGAAACAAGATATAAACTTTTCCTACGACACCAGGGGAAATAGGTCAAGCAGGAGCAATGCCATGAGTGCTTCCATAGCTCATCCCTACAGCAGGATATTTTAAAAGACAGTGTTTCATACCAGAACATAGTGAATGACGTAGGAAGGAAAGATCTTGGGAAATTATTATTCTTTGTTCTTCTATTATAGTTTCAGCTGAATCATGAAGGCATCTGAAACTGAAATTGTGGAGAGTGCACTAAAAACAAAAGATGAACTACAAGGATGTGTCAGTACTTGAATGTGTTTCAGCTCTTCCCCAGACTGTGATGCAGTCTATAGAAAATGCAAGCACACTTTGCCTGGAGACTTCTAATGCTGCAAATTGGTGTAAGTGGGAGCCAAGGTAGGCATCCTGAAATGCTATATCTGAGTGCTCTCTCAGTATGCCTCTTACACTATTTAAAAAATACTGTTATTGTATTAGTGCATGTGAAGATGGTTGGGCAGCCAGCTCCAAACAGGCACAGGGAGAAAAGCTGCAGGAAGCAAATAACTCCACACCACATCATTGGGGGCCTCTCTCCCAGTCCTAGCCAGCCCCATTAAGGATTTGTCCTTGTGTTTTGTTCTGTCCTGCTGTCTCCCTTCAGAAGCTGCCAGAAAGTGGTTTTGTTGTTTTGGGTGTTTTGTAAGGTTGTTGAGCTTTTTTCTTATATACATTGATAAAAACGCCTTTGAGACGCGATTCCTTTGGACGGCAGTGTCCAGCAATCTAGAGCTGAAACACACTGTTAGAATACATCGAGCACTTTTAATAAATTTTTACTGTTTGAATATGATTTTTTAAATTACTTTATCATTAACATAAAAAATGTTAAGCCTTTGCAGTGATAATTATAGTTCCTGTAATCAGTAATGTATATTAGAATTGCAATTGTACAATTTAATGCATGAAGTTTCATATACATCTAGAACAGATATTTTATGGAAAACAGTTTTTTTTCTAGAGAAACTTGATATGTAAAATATACCTTTTATTAATATTTATGGTAGCAAGGCATCTGAAAAACATTTTTCTCACATTGTCTGGGACTGCAAAAACAAACATTATTTTCTTTCAAGTATGAAAATTCAAGAGGAAAGACACAACTTCAGATCCCCACGTATGTCCCACCCCTGTGTATGTGGGTGTGTATATATCCCTGGTATATCTGAAGCTGCCATTGAAGATAATGGCACATCTGTGCATGAAGGACTTGTGAAACTGGATAATTAGACTGTCCTGAAAACAACTCTCTAATTGCCCTGGTGAAAGCAGAGTGTGCCTCTCTTACTTTAGTGCCTGAGGCTTCGTTGTGCCAGCACAACTGCACTCTTGCTCTAATTGTGGAAGTCTATAAAGCAAATTATGTTTTGTCTTTGTAGGAATGAATAGTGAAGGCTTAAAAATGGTCATATGAAACACTGAAGATCAGTGTTTTGTGCATCTCTTTAATTTGTTGTGGTAAATGGAACTAAACATTTCACTGAAGCACCAAAAATATTCAGGACTCAGACTGAGAGGTCCCAGAATAACCTGGTCTCGGGCCCTGCTTTGAGCAGCTGGTGGGACCAAGTATCTCCAGAAGGCCCCAGCCAATCAGGCTCTTCTGTGATTCAAAAGTCTAAGTTAATGCCACCTAAACTATCATAAGAAATTAAACAGGGTAGTTGCCAGCTGCTAGCTGTCAGCTGGAAACCACTATGGTTCACCATAGCTTTGATTTGCATGGGAATTTTGGCCCTCATTGAGAGTTACTTTTGATCATGGAGCCAGCTGGATCCTTAACTTAAAGTGTATCCTTGCCTCCTAAACTTTATCAGGTCCTTCATAAGCCAGCTAGCTTGTGTGCTTGCCTCTTCAGAAACAGCCTGGTGTTCTGATAATGTCTCATGGTTTTAATTTGTAAAAATCAAAGCCAAACAAGTTCTCAGTGTCTGACTTGCTGGTTTGTTCTGTGTGTATGGCCAGTGCACTGTCCTCATCCACAGCCCGCGCTCCTTCCCCACCTCCTCCACTGGCACAGGTGGGAAAGTACTCAGTGACTCAATAAGCTTGTGGTGAACTGTGAAAATCCTTAGTGCTCTCAGTGGCCTGAGCACAGAACATTTTCAAATTCCTCTGAGTTTTGCAAAGAGGTAGGTTAGGTCAGCGATTGCTGGGTATTGTTTCACACACATTTTTTGAATTAACATGAAATGACAAGTGAAAGTCAATTATATTCACAAAGGAGTACTATTGATATGATTGAACAAATTATTTTCCTGGTCTTGGAATGAGGCGCAGATTTTTTACCCTTAAGTAGGATTTAGCCTCTGAATTTCAGTCATCCAAAAGTGATTTAACTCTGAATCATCTTTCCTTTCTCTAGAGTTAATGGAGAGAAAATGTAATCTTGAGTAAACACTATATCCCACTTTACTTGGATAGAATGAGATGCCTGTTGATGTGTTTAGCATGAGGGAGCTCAGAGAGCTGGCTCAAACATGGGTGTTCTCAGTATCTGCAGTCCCGTGAAACCGCAGTCTAATCTGATAGTCTGCAAACCAGGCCTGAGGTGCAAGCCCACCGGAGAAGCGTCGTGAGGTTGTGGGCAACTCTGTAGCACCATCACCAAAAATCTTCCTGTAAGATTTAGTAGAGTCTAAAACTGTAAGATTTTAAAAAATATTTGAAAAAGCAAAGGGAATTGTTTGATATGTGAAAAGAGGAGAGCAGTTCTGGCACACTGTAACAGAGATCGAATTTTTGCATCCACCCCTCCTGCTACCTCCACCCCCAAAATCTGAAAACTTCCTGATTTGTGTTCATCAATAATTAAGAGCCCATCAGCAATACTCAGAGGGAGCTTGCATTGCACTTCTGAGCAGCCAGTTAGTAATATACGGTGGAGAGATCCTCTTTTTCAAATCCCAAGGCTCCAGGCCATGCAATGCTAGTATTGCATTTTCAATTAGCTTCTGAGTGAATGCTTGGCATATGTAGAAGTGAGCTGGTACACAATTAGCTTATTGTTCCTTTCAGCTTTCTGCTGAGAGGATCTGAAGGGCTCCTGAAGAGAGGGGAGAGGGGAGGAAAAAAAGGGAAATAGCCAAGCCAGTGGCATCTCTGTGGATGTGGCATAAGGGAGTTGCTCGGCTCCCGCAGATTCCCGTGCTAAGTCGGGAGTTACAGCTGTTACTGCGGAGCTCAGCCTGGCTGTGGGGACGGCGCCGGGGCAGAGGCACAGACCCAGTCTCCAGCTCCAGCCTCGCCTCTCGTCTGTCTCACCTCAGCACCACGATGGAGCCCAACAGCCCCAAAAAAATCCAGTTTGCTGTGCCCCTGTTTCAGAGCCAGATAGATCCCGAGGCAGCTGAACAGGTAAGGAAGATGAGTTTCCTTCACTCTTTTAAGGGAATGGGGTAGGAATGGGGCAAGATGTGGGTGAGAACAAGTGACACTTGTGGCCTAAAGGCTTTTCTAGCTCATAGTAGTGAAACTGTAGATGAAATACTCCGGAGGTTATAGCGATGTTCGATGCCCTTAAAGAGGAAGAAGGATATGTCCTCTAGCCAGAATAAGGCTTCTTCACCTTGGGTAGGTTTGCTAGCGTATATTTGTTGTGCCTTTTCTGTAACTGCACTTCTACCCTAATACTTGCATTTGACATGAATACATTCAATGAATACATTCTCAACAGATCAAATGTAGTATATGTACATAAAGCAAAACACAAAGTTGATAATAGGTACCTAACAGAAATATTGGGAAGAAGACATCTTATTTGCCTTTCATTTTAACACGAGAAAATACAATTAATGTTTTGCACGACAGTCATCATTTCAGTTACTTTCTGTATTTCTCATTATTTTTTACAGTCTATAAGTAATTTTTACAGTGTTTTTACCTGTCTGAAAAATATATACATGTAATTATATCCTTGTAGTTATGTCCTTGTTGGAATAATGTGTGTCTTATTTTAGGTTTTAACTCATTCCCAAAAGAAGATACACATAATAATATATACATATATATACTGTACTGATATATGTAGATATAGATATAGATATAGATATAGATATAGATATAGATATAGATATAGATATAGATATAGATATAGATATATCAGTACAGATGTCTAAGGAGGAAAATATATCTATTACTGTGTACAGATATGTGTAGCTGTGCCTAAAAAAGGTCACAGGCAGTCTTGTGAGAAAACTGGATAAATCTTAATTAGGTGACCCAGTATATTTCTCTCTGTGCAAGTCCTTCTCAATATTTGCTTCTATTTGGGTACGTCTGATTTTAGATGATATCAGGGGAATATTATAACCTTGGAAGTTCCACACCATTATCCATGAAATTATTTGCACCTTTAGGACAGTTACCTGTTTCCTGGATATTCAGATGTTGTGTCACTTAAAAGGCAGACACCTTTTCCAGAAAATGATGAGTTGTGAGTGACCACTGAATGCGAAATATTAGAAGGGTGTAGAAAAGAATTGTTCCAGGTCCTCATTTTGTCCATAGGCACTTCTGAGCTGCAAGATGTCCGTACCTTACAGAATAGTTCTGCAATTAATTTGAGCAGGATGTGTTCTGGTATTTTTTCTGAAATCTGTGAGAACCATAGGATTAAGATTTCCTGGAATTCCCATGGCTTTTGAAATGCTGTAGCCTATTTTCTGCCTGGTATTTATGGGCAGTCCTTTTTTTTTGTGTGTGTTGTGAGTTTGATTCCAAGTGCTATACAGTTTCACTGTGGGTGTGTGATGAAATTAGAATAGTAAATTCTACAGTCGGCTACAGTTACACTAATCTGGAATAAACCCATTAACCCTGATGATGTAATTTTCCATTTACACCTCTGAAAGCAAAATTTGAACCCAGCTAAATACAGATGTTGGCTTGGCAAATAAAAAAAGAACAAATGTACTGACATTGAGGTTTTGTGTCAGAATGGTTTCTAGCTTAAATGCTCCTCATCCCCCTCTTAAATTCAATAGAATATCAGGCCTGGAGGCTTTCATGAAGCAACACAAAGCTTTCAGTGCCAATGTGTGCATTATAGGAGGGTATTCCAATACCATACAGTTCAGCCACTGTTAATGGAACAAAAGTAGTTACCTAGATAAACTCTGAAGAATTGTATACAATTCAGGACTATATATTGGTCTGTAAAATCTGCTGTATTGGAAATACTCTTTTTAAGGTCTTAAATACTGAAGTCTTTTTAGTTAAAGAACAGTAGTAACACCTCTGACAACAGTTTAGAAATATAAGTTCATTGGAAAGCATTCCTCCAAAACTCTGAAATGTATTGCAAAATATTATTAATTATTACTTGTGAGAGTTGTGGCAGTGGTAGGTACTTGCACATACAAGCTCACACACTATGGCAAGTGTCTTCCATGCAAAGCTAAATGTCAAATTTTAAGATGTTACTGATAGTTTTCAGCAATACATATCCAAAAACTTAGGTCAAGATGATTACAAATTCTTCAGGTATTTTGGACAGCTCTCCCTGTGCTTTTTTGTTCTCCCTGAGCAAGCAGCAGCATGACCCTGATTGCTGTCAGACCAGACAAGCTGTCAGTAAGACGGTGAAGTGCTGCTGTTCTTTAAATAGTTTCCTTTCTAACTTTGCCTGGTCTATACTCCGGAGGACACCAGATGGATTTTTTGCTTTGCCTTGTGTGTGTGGCAATTGATGGGCCCTAGTTATTCTCCTTGGTTTGTATCTGTTACAGATCAGGAAAAGAAGGCCTACACCAGCATCACTCGTCATCATGAATGAACACATGCCCCCAGGTGAGTGCTCACATACCTTCTAAATCACTGAACTTGTATACACAGGATTGGCTGAAGACTGCTTTCATTAACTACATGATTTTAAAAATCCAGCATTCATTTTGTAGCTCTAAATGTCAAACAATGGATCTTAGGACTGTTTGAAGTGAGCCCCATGTACACGGATAATTCCTGGCCTTCAGATAATGTCACTGATTTCACAGTTTTATCCTCCATGTAAATCTTGGTTATATGTAGGAGAATTAATATAACCCAGATCCAGTTCTTCCATCCACAAATATTTTCTTTCCCTGGGTGGAGACTTCGGGGAGCCATGAATTCCAACCTCTAGAGATACCAGGCTGGGTTCAGTGTTAATTCAACCCAAGGAGTTGTTTCTACAAACAGATCCTCTTACAGTTTCCTGATAAAATATATAATGTGTTTTTTCATTATTCTTTTTCAACTCTGAATACGTTATCTTCACCCAGGAGTCCCCACAGAAGCTTCTCTGTGGGATGAGTTGATTTGAGGTTGAGACATACTTTGTCATATAAATATGACTTCAGAAAGATTCTTTAATAAGCTGTTTAGGGAGTGTTATGAACAAAAACCTCACCAAAATGGGGAAAATCCTCAATACGTAATCCATTGGAACACAGTGCCTACTTTATAACAAACTTTATCTTTGTTGTGCTCTGCAACTTTTTTTCCTGTCATATCTCTTAGTCATCTGAATCTTTTTTTTAAATTTTTTTGGAGAGGAGCTTTCTGTCCTGATTTTCAGGTAGTTCAGCTCTCAAAAATGGTGCATGAAAGATCTGCCTTGAACTGACTTCCTTTACCTATATGGGATAATAATGGGATCTACACTGTCTGTGTTACTAGGACTTAATTTACAGCAAATTCACCTTGACTCGTAATTTCTTTTGCAATTCACTTTGTACACTTTGTACTGTCATATTTCCTTTTATAAACAGATACTTGGTACAATACCAAATCAAAACCAAACAAAGAATAAGAACTCTTTAATTTACAGGAAATTTTACTGTAAACAAAGTGGTGTATGTCTGTTATCACCTTTCCTGCAATGTTCATAATAAGTCTCTAAATAAATCATTTTTATTATGAGTCAAGATTGCTGCAAGTTTCAGCCAACTTCCATATATGCCCATGAACTAGTATTTGTCTTCACTTACTTAGATTTGTTTATTAAGATATTATTTATTCTTTCTAGCTACTGGGAACTAATATAAATGAATTTATTATTTGGCTTAATTATAACCTTGTCCTGTTTTTATATTGTCCCTAAAGTCATATAAAAATAAAAACTTTAAAAGCAGCTTCATTTTCCTGCCCTTCACCATGAGGTTCATGCAGATTTCCATAGGGTGTCACTTGCTTAATATGGGCAAGTTCTGAGCAGGGTGTGTGAAGGTAGCTCTGTAAACCTGCTGAATACAGGAGTGGAAAGCCAGGCTGGAATGGCAGACAATAGGTTTACAATGAAGTGCAAATACTAAATAAAGCCTTTGTGGTCTTCATCTTGCAAGGTGCTCTACAGCTTCTGAGCTGGTTGTATGCCTTCAGCTTTCAGAGTCAGCTAGTTCCAGGGCCTCCTGACACCTTGCTGATTAAAACCCTGATGCTGAATAAAATTTGTCTCCAAAAATAGTAAATTCATGACTGCAAATGGATGCAGTTAATAATAAAAAATATATTTAAAAAAAAAAGGTCTTAATTCCACACTCCAGCAAATTCCAACAAATTGCTTTAGAAGTCTGATTCCCTAGAACAGTGGGGAAACTGAGCAGCAGGGAATTCCAGGGATACTGACAGAGCCACCCCTTTTTATTAAAGTTGGGCTAAAGTAGAGTCCTGGCCCTTGACTTTTACCCACTGAAGTGTTCCACTTCCTTTATTAGGAGCAAGGAGCTAGTGAAGGATATGATTCCAAGAGCTTGAAATGTGTATCCTAATGCAATTCTAAATGTTTGGATGCCCCTGTAAAGTTTACTCAAATTATCTAAACGTCTCTTTTTTTGAAAAACAGACACAGGCATACTCTAACAATCAGATTTTTCTATAGCCCTCTGTTACAGCTGCTTCTGATTGCATCAGGGAAAAAAAAAGTAGCATTCTTGTGGTATTCTGGTGTTCTGGATGCACAGCCATCTGGAAACCAGAAAGCAATAAAATGTGTTTGGACATTTAAGAACTTCATAATAAATTCAGCTTGAGTTCTTCTGTAAAAAGATCTAAAAGTTGTTTACTATTAAGTCTTCTTGTCCATCCCTGATGCCTGATACAGCTTTGATAGGGATACCTCTTCACCTATTTAGGTCTGGTCTATTGTGCTATAAAGATGGAATATCTACTAAGCCTAAGTCATTTTAAACCAATGACAGCTACTCAAAAACTGTAAGAGTCTGCTTGACTTCCTTGCTTCCAAGCAGTGTTAGACCACACTGAAAGATTTAAAGGCGGGTGATAAATGTGACTACAGGAGCTCATATCCAGCCTGTAGCATCATTGACTCTCACATTTCCTCATGCTCACTCTGGTTGGCATCATATATAAATGCAATCAGAGTCAGCAAAAGAGAAATATGAGTTGCAGTAGCAGCAGTGATTGCAGTGGACAATATGACCTTGTGAAGAAACAGCAATGGATAAACCCTTAACTCTAGCTGTAAGTTCTCTGTAAAGTGCTCTTAGATGGGTTGTGTCACTTCTGAGCAGAGAAACTAGTGCTAGCAAACTGAGACCTGAGTTATGAAGTCAAATCTATTGCACTTCAGTTGCCATCCATAGAGCTGTATTTTCTGAGCATCTGACATTTGATTTTGCAATATCAAGTCAGTTTGCTTTTATTTGAAATGATAAGATCCTTTTACTACCTGGGAAGGCAAAGACAAGTATAAAGTGAGAGAAATACACAAATGGGCAGCATCTCATCCTGTCAGGGTGGTGCATGGGTTACTGGGATAACCCACTCACATCCTGCTATAGCCACAGTTGCACTACCCCTGCCTTTCATAAAAGGAACATAAGCTCATGCTTCGTTTTAAAATCACATTTAACTATTACACTACACAAGTGTTTAATCCAAAAGTTGTAAAAGCTCTCCTGCTTCCTTTTTCCCTTGCAATATCCTTGGAGTCAACAGAAACTGAGTATCACCATCACAAGCAGCCTTTTCTGTGTATGCAGCACCCTCCTGTCTCCATACCCAGTGTAGCAGAAAATATAGGAATATCAACTCTTATTAGCTGTAATAAAAGTCTGAGCATGCTTTAAGCCAGCAGCAGCATATCATAATGCAACAGCTCAAGAAAAAGCTCATAGCAAAGTAGAGAACTGATAGCTGAGGGAAGAAAGCACGTCAGACCACAACTCAGGTTTAATACTATTAGGGCTCGCTTTGATCAGAAAACAATGCCAACGTTCCTGTACAGACTGGCTTTGTCACAGCGCCAACACAACATCAAACAGTCTGGCTGGCAAAGGCTCTTCAAATTATGTCAAAGTGTTCAGTCTTCTTGAAGCATTAGAATATGGGTAAACATTAGGATAAACTGTGTATCTTAATTTTCTATGTATTTGCTGTTTCCAGCTCCCCTCTCTGCTTTGTTGCCTGTTTTGACTTCCTTGCTTGGAATGTAAATGCTACTCTGTGTTTAGAAATACAGATGCCTTTTTCTGCTTTGCAAATCTCATCTCAAAGCAGGAAGGATGTATCACTGCAAAAGCAATACAAAACAGTATAGCACAGTACATCTGAGCTAACTGGATACTGGACATCATAACTTGAAGAAAAGCAATCTGTACCTGTCTCCAAACAAGGAAGGTGCCTGCAGCTTGTGTTTGGGCATCAGAAGTTTTGCTTTCTCATTCCTAGCTGATTTTTGGTTATCCAGAAAGGATCCATGCCTTTCAGCTCACTGCCACTTCCCCAGAGCTCTGCTGAGATGCCTCATGGGCAGTCTCAGTATTCAGTGCAGCAGCAAACACCACAGCCAGATGAGTGGTGGGAGGAAAATCTGCCCTTACACCTTTGTCAATTCCATGACAACCCAAAGTAGTCGAGGTTTTTATGCTAAATTGGTTTTAGACACTCCTGGACTTTCCCTGCACAATAAATCTCATTGCCGCAGACAGATGTGCTTTTCTGCTGATGCAAACTGTAACAGCACCACATTCCTGATGGGATTAATGTGAGTGGCTTTGCCCAGCATTAAGGTTTGTGACTAATATTGGCTGGATCATGCTTCTAGGTGAATGAATATGTTTGGTTTTATAGCTAATGATCACATATTTTTTTTTCTTCCAAGACAAAATAAACTGAGCTCAAAAAAAGACCTACCTAGTAGGAGGCAGGTGTTTCTGAGCATTCTCAAGCAGTTCTGCTATACTTTCTCAGGGAAAAGCCTCAGCAGAAAACTCTTGGTCTCAGAGTTCATGGAAACTGATATGTTTTTCAAACTATTAAGATTCTGGTAGGACATATTGTGTACTTTGGTCCAAGAAGTAGAGAGTGAGTAAACCAAATAACAGATGTTTTCAATTGCGAATTTAGGCTTCTAATGTGGTAATAGAACATTCAGAAAAGTAGTACGTGAATAAAATCTGTCATTAGCTGTATTTTTTTTTTTTTTTTGTTAAGCCAGTTGGTTTTTCTATATGCTAAATGTATATGCCATTAAAGTATTCTGTCTCTTTTTATGTTGGTCCAGGAGTGTGTGGAGGTATTTCAATAAGGGATGAAAATCATTTGTGTTTCCTCACACCGGAGGATTGGTATAGCCCAGTGTACATTACCAATGGCACCAGGATGTTCAGAGATTAGGCACTTCTTGTCAAGGCAGTGAGGACCTTTGTGTTCTTTCAGCCTGTGCTGGAAAGGACTTTCTGACACGGTGGAACAAGGAAATATGTGAAGCAAACATTGCATAAGACAGGACAGGTGATAGGGGTTCCAGAACAGAGATGAAAGTGTCTGTGCTTGAAAATACCCTGCTG